CCTCTTCCTCGGGCCCTGTGGGGGGAGAGAAACACAACAACAAACCAACCCCCCTCCCCCCTAAAAACACCACCCAAAATAAACCCAACAAAAAACCCCCCACAAAACCCCAAGCCTGACACAGGTTATAGCGGTTTCAGACCTGTTAAGAAATGAAACGTGGTGTTGTTTTTTGCATCCTAGTGTTAGAAGCAGAGTGTTGGGTTTAGTGTTGTTGGGTTTAGTGTTGTTTGGTTTAGTGTTGGGTTTGTGTCGTAGTATTAGAAGCATATTGTTGAGGTTTGTTGTTTTTTTTAATATATATACCCTAGTGTTAGGAATATAATAGTTTGTTTAAGAGAAAAGATATCTAACACCTGGGGTGGTTTACGGTCCAAGAAACTGAGGGACTTAATTGGGCTCCACCTGGGGATCCAAACATGGAGAAGGATTTATGGCCCAAAAACAAAGCCACTTCTGTCTTGCTGTCAGGGCAGGATGACACCAGCAGATTTGTTAATTGGGAAGACAGCCCAGGGGGCAAGAGAGGTCAAAATTTTACCTTTAAAGGTAAAAAGTAAACTGCTAGAATGGAATGTGTAAACAGGGGTGGGGAACTTACAGGATAATTCGAAGTGTCAGAGGGCCTGGGAATCCTGGAGTGCCCAGCCAGTGGGGAAACAGGGGAGGGAAATTTGCGTCAGGAATAGGGAATATAAACAGTTATTCACCTGACTATGGGTGTGCCTGCTTGTTTAGGTCACCCATTCTTGCAAGAATGTAATTAAACTGTGCCTCCTTGAAGGATCTGTGTGGCCTGTTAATTGGCATGACAAATGTTTCTCACAACAACAAACCAAAACCCCCCCAAAAAACACCCCCCAAAACCCAACAAAAACCCCCACAAAACCCCAAGCCTGACACAGGTTATAGCGGTTTCAGACCTTCCGCTCCCTTTGTGTCACAAGATGCATAGTCAGGGAGTTACTGTTCAGAGAGGCCTCTCGCCTTGTTTCCACAGCCCTCAGGGAGCAAATTATGTCAGTAACTCAAACTCTTCTTTAAACTTCAAGGGCTCTGAAGGTGGCAGATGAATTTCTGTGAGATTTAAGTATGTAATTACCTCCGCTCGCTGTGCTGGGCGAGGAGCGGTGCGTGCGGTGCCCTGAGGTGCAGGAGGGACCCAGGGGCTCCATCCATCACCTCAAACTACAGCTCTTTTTTCTGCTAATTCTGTGCTTTCCGGACACAGCGGGGATTTTTATAATTCTGTCCATCTGAAAGCACAGGATCTTGTTTCTTTACAGCAGGTTTTTACTTCTTGCTCATTGCAGAGCTGCACCACAAAGTCTCAGTGTTTTGAGGGTATTGCCAGTTCTCCTCAATCCAGCTTTGCTGATAAAATGCTTTTCTGTTTATCCTGGCCTTAAAAACATGAGCAACCATTTAAATTGCAGAAATAAGTGGCAAGAGTGCACCTGTGGGAATATCCAAGAACAGTATTTTTTTCTCAGAAGCATCCAGTCCCCCTGTTAAGCTGCAGAGGTTTGGGGACACGCCTGGTGTGTTGCACTGCAATTTCTCTCGGTGCTCAGGGGTCCTTCTGTGCTTTGTTCTCTGGCTGAGATAATTCATATTCTCCTCCAAAAGCTTCTCGCTCTCTCACAGTGTTGTTGCTTGCAGCCACGGAATACAGATGATTGTTTTTATTAGGCAGTGAAAACTTTAACTGTCTCATAAACAGAAGAGGACTGGAACTGGCTGAAGAACATTTCTGCAGCTGGAAAGCTTGGTTGCAGTTTCAATTCTCCCCCTACCCCCAACTGAAAACAGTTTGAAAAAAAACAACAACTTTTAAAATTTTAATAAATACTTTTCACTGCACTGCTGGTTTGTAAAATGAACGTGTATATTCGAGTGATGAGGACAGAGGAGTGAGCCCTAAAACGCCTCGTGCGCTTGAGTGGCCCAGCACAGACATGGGCTCTGTGGCAGCACCTGGGGGTGCAGAGACACAACCATGAACACTTAAGACATCCTGGGGTGGCCTCAGACACTTCCAAGGCACAAAGCACTTTGTGCAGGTGAAGCCAGAACACCAGGGGCTCCCCCACAGAGATCTGGTATCACTGCTGCCACATTCTGCCCTGGAACCGCGTGTCTTTGCAGGGAAATGGTGGCAATTTCACAACTGCAGATGTCGTTACGTTTTCTGAAGCATGGTTGGATCCCTCTCTGAGGAAACAGCTGTCGTGTAGTGCAGAGAGGCAAGAGAGAACACAGATCCCCCCCAAGATCAGTCCATGTCTCAGCATCAGGCAGCATCTCCTGAGTGACTTGAAAGGCTGCCAGGCAGCCCTCAAAGAGACCAAGAGCTGCACAAACTGTTTACATTAAATGCACATTTCCACATAAAAGAGTGCTTATTTTCAACAATATTAAAAAGTGGGTTTTATTAGAATCTGTTGTCTAAGCAGACAGGCAAGAAAAGATGTTGTGAGCCCCCTGGTTTTTATGGCAGCTGCTGGCGGGTATAAAGCAGCAGCTGATGAGCTTATTGAGCAGGAAGGGAGGCTGAGGCTGTGAAATGCGATGTGTAAATTAGCTTCTTGCAGCACTTGTCTCTGTGCCTGTCACTTGCACCAGTGTCCCTGTCTGTTAAAATCCTCCCAGTTCATTTGGCTAAACATTAGCGACATGCTAAGGACAGCAGCCAAAAAATAGTGTTGCCTGTAAACATACTGGCTGTTAACTGTTAAAGGAGAGGTCTGTCAGACTAAACAGGTGTCCAGAAGGAGCAATAGCTGGTCTTTTCCTGCTATAGAAATGTTGATTTTGGTTAAGGTGGCTGATTATTTTTCATTAGCAGCACCTGGGGAGAAAGCAGGAGGATCCTGCCTGGCTCAGGGACCTTGCTGCCTGCCATGGCATCCTCCCCCCTCCTCCCAGAGCCAGCACCAACAGAGTCAGTCACTCATTTAAAATCTGAAGATAGAACTTTTGAGCTGCTGTTCTCTCCTATCAAACAATGCTGTGATGCCAGCTCAGGTAATAACAGTGAATACTGAACTGCTGATTTTGGGCTCCTGGAGGCACTGTTTCCTGGAAGAATTTCTGATGAGCTGATGTGCCAGCTGGAACCAAAGCATCCAAGGGGGTCTGTAACCCTCTGGTGCAGCTCTCCTGAACACTGCTCTCTGGGGTGCCTTTGCACCACTCTGAGTAAGGCCTGAGCCTTAACACCAGGAACTAGAGAGCCCTCACATAGAAATAATAGGGAATTTCTGATAGATGCATAGTGAAACTTTATGATCGCCATGTGAGAAATCACTTTTTGAGTCTTATTTTAGTTCTCTGTCTGGTACCTTATCAAGAACCAGATGTGGAAAGCCAGAATCTGAATAAATCAATTAACACAACTGAGTGGAGTACATAGGCTTTGCAAGAAAGAGCAGCGAAGAGAGAAACTATGAGATTCATTAATGAGAACCGAAAGGGACATCTGAGGATCAGAGGGTACAGTGAACCATCCCCAGCTGAGCGGCTGTGATATCTGCCTGGCTGCAGAGCTTGTCACACTGACCTCCCTGTGGTGGGGACAGCTGGAGATGCCAGCCCCTGCCCCAGCCATTGGATTCTCTCTGCCACTTCACAACCATCTCTAGCACTTACACAGCAAACCTGCAAGCACCAGCCAAGGAATTCAGGGCACCTCATTTGCCCCAGGTTTCCTGCTCTTCCAAAGATCTGAGCTGCTTTGAGTAGTGTTGATTATTTTAAAGGATTTCACCAAATGCCAGTAAACCTGTCTCAGCACAAAGCATCCCACTGAAACCAAATCATTACCTTTGCTCCCAGAATCTGATTACACGGGCTGTGGCAACTCAGCCTTCCCATGAAAAAGCAACAGCTTACAGAAGCCTTTTCCTGACTTAATTTCATAGTTGCTTTAACTGCAGTTACGCAAACAAGAATTCTCTTCCCACCACCTTCTTATTTTTCATATTCTTTTGCTCCAGGGATTATGTTTTAATTTACATCCAACTGAACAGTCTCTTTAACTTCGCTCCCCGTCCAGCTGCACCCAGGAGCAAAGCTGGGCACAGCACAGGGCAGCAGGAGCCTGGTTTAACCCAGTTTAGCTTAACCCAGCTCGGTTTAACCCACCCACCAGACACTGGGGGTCAGTGTTAGACAGGCGATGCAGGGCCCAGATTTTCGACCCGTGACAGGTAACAATTTAGTAAGTGTTGTACATTATTTAACATTGTTTCCTTGGGGAGATTAAAAATGCTCTGAGTAAATGCAACTCTCTTCCATGCACACCAGACAATGATAGAAGAGGCTGTTCTACACCAGACTCATGAAAAATAAAACCACAATGTTGATTTCAGCAGCTTAAATTACTTGAGCCAGTGTAATGGGATAAATATTTGATGGTGAAGTTTATTAAATTTCCACCACTATTATGTTGCTGCTAAAAATATAAAGGAATCTTTAAAGCCTGCATGGTGGTCTCCAAAGGGAGGTGGTTGGAAACCCATCTAAAAAGCCCAT